GCAGTGGGACCCGGGCCTGTGTCAGGTGGTGGGACTGGGCCTGTGTCAGGCGGTGGGACCGGGCCTGTGTCAGGCGGTGGGACCGGGCCTGGGTCAGGCGGTGGGACCGGGCCTGTGTCAGGCGGTGGGGACCTGGGCCTGTGTCAGGCGGTGGGGACCTGGGCCTGGGTCAGGCGGTGGGACCGGGCCTGTGTCAGGCGGTGGGGCCCGGGCCTGGGTCAGGCGGTGGGACCCGGCCCTGTGTCAGGTGGTGGGACTGGGCCTGTGTCAGGCGGTGGGGCCCGGGCCTGGGTCAGGCGGTGGGACCCGGCCTGGGTCAGGCGGTGGGACCCGGGCCTGTGTCAGGCGGTGGGGACCTGGGCCTGGGTTACGCGGTGGGACCCGGGCCTGTGTCAGGCGGTGGGGCCCGGGCCTGTGTCAGGCGGTGGGGCCCGGGCCTGGGTCAGGCGGTGGGACCCGGGCCTATGTCAGGCCCCAGGAGCACCGGGTGCCCCGCAGCCCCATCAGCCGGTGCTGGCACTGTCCGCCCTCCGGAGGCTCCGGTTTGCCGCGGGCCCCGCCCTTCCCCATTGTCCCCCTGGCTCTGGGTCCAGTGACACGGCCCACCTGCCGGGGGACGTTTGCCGTCACGTGGCCACATGTTCTCCTGGATTCGCTCCAGAGAGGGCCCTCAGGCCCCGGAGGGCGGCGGGCAGAGCTGGTCCCGCGGCTCAGGCTGTGCTATTTTTGCCTCTAACCCAGAAAACGAGCCTCGAGGGAGCGAGCGAGCGAGCGAGCGCGTCTTGTTAGGGAACTGCATTCCGAGTTCTCCTTCCGCCCATCGCGGACACCTCTCCCACAGAGCAAGTGCCCTTCCACCCCCATCCACCGTCCTGTCCCTCTAACAGCCCATCCTCAGTTCCCAGGGACCTGATGGTCTCACGCCCGCCCCCCCCAGCCCCTCCCCAGCACCGAGCGGCCTCCGCTCAGAGGGAAGCTGCCCTCATCCCTGTCCTCACGCTCCGCCTCCCCAGTGGCGTCTCCAGCACCCACGCTGGCCTAGACCCCGGGGAAGGGCCCTGATGCTGGAGAGGGAGCAGGGTGCAGGGATGAGGGAGGAGGAGAAGGGAGGAGGGAGGAGGGAGGAGGGAAGAGGGAGGAGGGAGGGGGCTTGCAGGGAGAACAGAGCCTGGGCTGCAGGGGGAGGGGCTGTGCTAAGGTGCCCTCAGCCCTGAGGCCCCCACGGTCACCAGTGACGGGTCCCTGTGAGGCCCCTCCAGCTAGAGAGGTCGGGCAGGACTGGCCTGACCCCTGCGAGCCACAAGGTTTTTAGCCATAAACCGCACAATTAAATGGGAACAGCACAGTGTGTGTGTGTGTGTGTGTGTGTGTGTGTGTGTGTGACTGAGGTGTGTGTCTATGTATGACAGAGATGTGTGTGTGTGAGTGAATGAATGTGAGTGAATGTGTGTGTGAGTGAGTGAATGTGTGTGAATGAGTGTGAGTGTGAGTGTGTGTGAGGTGAGTGTGAGTGAATGTGTGTGTGTGTGACTGTGAGTGAATGTGTGTGAGTGAATGTGTGTGACTGTGAGTGAATGTGTGTGAATGTGACTGAGTGAATGTGTGAGTGTGAGTGTGTGTGTGAGGTGAGTGTGAGTGAATGTGTGTGAGTGTGTGTGTGAATGTGACTGAGTGAATGTGTGAGTGTGAGTGTGTGTGTGAGGTGAGTGTGAGTGAATGTGTGAGTGTGAGTGTGTGTGAGGTGAGTGTGAGTGAATGTGTGTGACTGTGAGTGTGTGTGTGAATGTGACTGTGAGTGAATGTGTGAGTGTGTGTGAGGTGAGTGTGAGGACCCTGGTGGGGCGCCTGCTGGCACTGCCCCTTTTAGTTGATGAGGCCGAGGCTCCGAGGGGCAGAGCCAGGCTGTTGGCTGGGGGCATCCCCCTCGGCCCTGGGCCAGCGCCCTCACCGGGAGGGTTACCTGGGCAGGAACCGCTGGTCCCAGGAGGGCGGCAAGGGCAGCGCTTGGCCCCGGAAGCCCGGCCCCTCCCCACACTCACACCGCTGGCCTCGTCCTGCTGCTGGAGTCCCTCCAACTGCCCACTCAACTGCCGCCCCCGCGGAGGGAACTCTGGGGGCCCAGCATTCCTTCTGCCGCGTTAAAGGGCACTGCCCCCGGGGCCACCGGCCCGCCCCGGCTCCCGGAGGGGGAGCGGCCCCCAGCCCCATCCTGGCGCGAGGAGCCGGACAGGGCTCCCCCAGCTGCTGCCCGGCCCCAGCACGGCCCCCTGCGCCCGCCCCGGCGCCCGCAGAGCAGAGGCCACCCGTCAGGGCGGGGAGGCCCCTCGGAACGGACTCTCGCTGAGCCCCAGAGGAGCGGCAGTTTGCGCCCGGTTTTGCTTGTTGTGAAGCAGAGGCCTGGGCCGGGCCAGCGGCTACCTGTCGGCTGTGCCCAGGGCGAGGCCTCACGTGGGGCTCTCGCCCGGGTGGGGCCTCCCCGTCTCCTGGCCCACGGGCTGCCCGGCGGGCCCAGCTCTGCCCCTCGGAGCCGCTGACCCCGCGCGGCCAGGGGTGGGAGGGAGCGGGCTGAGGGTCCAGCTGGAGCAGCCTCGGTCTGTTTGAAGCCTCACGTGGCCCCTGAGGCTCCAACCCCCGCAGGCTGTGTGAGAGCCGCGGCCGCGGCCGCGAGGTGAGCTGCCAGGCCCCCTCCCGCTCGCACCCTGGCCGTGCCTCCCCGCGGCGATTCTGGGGGTGCAGTTCCCGGGGAGGACGCTTCTCTCCCTGCCCAGAGGCGGCGGGCGGGCGGGCGGGCGGGCGGGGCCAGTGTCGGTGCGGACACAGACCCGCCAGCAGGTCCAGAGGCCTCCCGTTCCCTGTGCTCAGTCAGGACAGCGTTTCTAACGTGAACCAACACTCAGGACGGCAAAGGAGCCGGCCACTCCGACTCAGGACGGGCATCGAAGCCTGCGTGCGCCCTGGGCAGCTGGCTCAGTGTCGGAGCGCGGGCCCTGGGACTGAAGGTCCGGGGTTGGTGCTGGTCAAGGGCTGGATCCCGGCCCTGGCTGGGGTGCGTGCAGGAAGCTGAAGTGTGTCTCTCACATGGATGTTTCTCTCTCTGTGTCCCGCTCCCCTCCACTCTGTTTAATATCGATGGAGCCCCCGAGCTGGGCTGGCTCCTGGATGGAGCGGTGGCCTGCGGACGTCAGGGTTTCAGAACAGGGCGCCTGCCAGGCACCACCAAGGCAGAGCGAGGCTCCGGGTGGGGAGCTGCTGCGAGGGGAGGTAGGGTGGGGCCTGAGGACCAGTGGGAGTGGGGTCCCTTTCCTGCCCTGGATTTCAGGGATCTCCATCTGAAGCCCAGGCCGCCTTCCCACGTTGGCTGGGAGGAGACTGCCACCTGCTGGCCGCTGTGAGGAGCAGGTGTCCGCAGAGGGCTTTCTCCAGGCAGGGGAGCAGGGGCAGACCCTGCAGGGTTGAGAGGAGGGGGAGGGGCCCGGGCACTCCTCTGGGCCAAGGATGAAAGGCAGGCAGAGAGGGAAAGGGCTCAGGCGGCACAGGGAAGTGTGGGACAGGAGGGCAATCCCTGGAAGTGCCCTGTGGGGAGGAGCAGCCATGAGGAGAGGCATGCCTGCCGGGAACCAGGCTGGGCCTTCTCCTCGGTGATGCTGCCCACCGAATGTGTAGGCTGTGCTCCTCCCGGAGCGGTCTCCGTCCCCGAGCCATTTCCCTCCCAGTCTCAGCTCCCCATGGCTCCCCTCCGCCAGGAAGCCCGCCGGACTGTCCCGCCCACCGCCTGGTTCCGCTCATTTATTTGCTGCTCACTCCTGTTCACCAGGACAATCCCACGAGGACAGAGAGGCCTGCCCTCAGCACCCCGCAGTGCCAGAGGCAGAGCAGGAAGTGGCTGTGCAGGGGGCTGACCCCAGGGCACACTCAGACACTGTGACCTGAACGCACAGACAATGAAACACTTGGAAGCCTGTCTCCCCACCACGGTGAGGTCTCCCTAGAAGTAAATGGAAAACAGTTGCCTTTTTATTTGTTCACGAGAGGCCCGGTGCACGAAATTCGTGCAAGACTGGGCCTTCCTTCCCCGGCCGCTGGCACCGGCTTCCCTCCGGCCCCCGGCCCCCGGCCCCGGGCTCCCCTCTCAGCCCCGGCCCTGGGATCCCCTCGCAGCCCCAGCCCCGGAATCCCCTCGCAGGAAGGATGTCCAGAAGGATGTTGGTCTAATTAGCATATTATGCTTTTATCATTGTAGATCTGTAACCACCGTGTGGGAGGTTTATTTACAGTTGACATACGTTACGAGTGAATTCTTTATCCCAGTGGTCGGCAAACTCATCCGTCCACAGAGTCAAATATCAACAGGACAATGATTGACATGTCTTTGGAGAGCCACATTTCTTAAACTTCAACTTCTTCTCACGCCACGTCTTCAACACAGACTCGCCCAGGCCGTGGTGTTTTGTGGAAGAGCCACATTCCAGGGCCCAAAGAGCCGCATGTGGCTCTGGAGCCGCAGTTTGCCAACCTCTGTTTCATTCCACCCATCTGCGCTCCAATCAGGAAGCAAACACATGGCAGACAGCGAGCTCCCGGTGGGGTTGCCCGCCCCCGTGTCTGTGATTCGGGGCAGCTGAGCCGTCCATGGGAGGTGTCGCCCGGGGGCGCCCACGGGAGGGGCTGGGGTTCCCATCCGGAGCCGGGCGGTGGGGGAGAGCCCGGGGCTGCGGCAGGCACTCTGCGCCCCGCACGGCCCCGGAGCTGCCCTCCCCGAGCCCGCCAGCCCCTCTGCGGAGTCAGTGAGGGGCCTCCCCGCCGCCAACACAGAAAGCAGGACCGCGTGTGGCTTCTCCGACTTTTATTCTTTTTACAAAACCATCCATCACCGCCACCCCTCCCACGGCCGGGGGCCACGGCGCCGCACCAGCCCTCCCACCGGGAGAGGCCCGGCTCGCCCTCGTGGTCTCGGAGGACGCCGGGGTCTCAGGTTTGGGGGCTTCACTCCCCAGCCTCCCCTTCCTCCCCCCCACCCCCCCGCGCCCCTCTGCCACGTCCGCCCCGCTCTCTGCCCCCGCGGGCCACGGCCGTCCGCGGGTGACGTGAGCCGGCGCGGTCCGGGGCCTCAGCCCAGCGCCGTGGCCGTCCTGAGCAGGGCTGCGAACATGGAGCCCGGCTCCTGCTGCAGGGCCTCGGGGCTGTCAAACTCCACCACCTGCGAGGAGGAGGAGGGAGGAGGAGGAGGAGGAGGAGGAGGAGGAGGAGGGAGGAGGAGGGAGGGGGAGGAGGGAGGGGGGAGGAGGGAGGGGGAGGAGGGAGGGGGGAGGAGGGAGGAGGGAGGAGGGAGGGGGGAGGAGGAGGAGGGAGGGGGGAGGAGGGAGGGGGGGAGGAGGGAGGAGGAGGAGGAGGGAGGGGGGAGGAGGAGGGGGGAGGGGGGAGGGGGGAGGGGGGAGGGGGGAGGGGGGAGGGGGAGGAGGGAGGGGGGAGGGGGGAGGGGGAGGAGGGAGGGGGGAGGGGGGAGGAGGAGGAGGAGGGCACCGTGAGCCCGGCCCGCGGGCCCGCAGGCCTGGCGCCCCCGGCCCGGCCCGGCCCGGCCGCCCGCACCTCCCCGTTGTCCATGACCAGGATGCGGTCACAGGCCAGCACAGTGGGGATGCGGTGGGCGATGATGAGCACGGTGCAGCCCCGGAAGGCCTCGCGGATGGTGCGCTGGATCAGCGTCTCCATCTCCGTGTCGATGGAGGCCGTGGCCTCGTCAATGAGGACGATCTGGTGGGGACAGAACAGGTGGCAGCAAGCCTGGGCTGGCGTGGCTCGGTGGACAGAGCGGCGGCCTGCAGACCAAAGGGTCCCAGGTGCGATTCCCGGTCAGGGCACAGGCCCGGGTTGTGGGCTTGATCCCCCAGTAGGGGGCGTGCAGGAGGCAGCCGATCCGTGATTCTTTCTAATCATGGATGTTCCTATCTCTCTGCAATCAATAAAATGTATTTTAAAATAAATAAAATAAAACAAGATATATTTTATTGATTTTTTACAGAGAGGAAGGGAGAGGGATAGAGAGTTAGAAACATCGATGAGAGAGAATCATCGATCAGCTGCCTCTTGCACACCCACTACCGGGGATGTGCCCGCAACCAAGGTACATGCCCTTGACCGGAATCGAACCCGTGACCTTTCAGTCCGCAGGCCGACGCTCTATCCGCTGAGCCACACCGGCTTCGGCTAAAATAAAACAAAACAAAAACCAGGTGGAGGCGGCCTCGTGAGCCTGGGACCGGGCCTGGTCCTGGGCCGGCCAGCAGTTCGCCGAGACACAGATCGCTTTGGACGGAGCCCAGCCCCCTCGGCCCCGCCCGCCGAGAGGGACGCGCTTAGTGACCGAGGGCTCGTGCTTGGCGGCGGGCGGGGCGGGTCTGGTTCCTGGAACCCCTCCCCTTTGCAGACGGTCCCAGAGCAGCGTCCCCGCCTCCGGCGAGCACGCCCGGCCACGTATGTTCCTGCTGCAGCACCGCTGTGTCTGTCCCCCTGACACGCACGGGAGCCGGGCCGGCCCACGAGGGGGCCTGAGTGTCACTGGTTAAGGTCAGGGACCCTTAGAAAGAGGGCGTCGTGAGGAAGTCAGAGGCCACGGGTGTGACCAAGGTCACGCGTGCACATGCGAGCGTGGAGGTGCGTGTCCGTGTGTGTCCACGTTTGTGTGTGTCCTTGTGCACCTTTCACATGTACACGTCTGTGCGTGTGTGCTTTCATGCTTGCGTTTTGCTTGCTGGTGAGGGGAAGCATGCTCCTAAGAGCCCGCGGCCGCGGTGCGGTGGCCGGGGCGCTGTCCGGGGCCGGGGTGAGTCTCGGACCCAGAGCTCCCTGGACGGCCGGCGCGCGGCCCCGAGCAGGCGGGACGTGCTCTCGGGGGACCGCGAGGTGGCGACTGCGAGGCCCTGGCTCGCGCGCTCTGGCTCTGGGTTGGACGGACTTCAGCGCGGGGGCGGGGTGTGGGGGGCTGAGGGCCTGGCCGCGCCCCACCCCGCCGCGCCCCCCACGCCACGCCGCGCCCCCCACGCTCCGCCCCCCACGCGGGCCGGTGCTGGGCCGCACCTTGGAGTTGCGTAGGAGGGCGCGGGCGATGCAGAGCAGCTGCCTCTCCCCCACCGAGAAGTTCTCACCGTTCTCCTCCACCTCCGCCTGCAGCCTCTGCGGGAACTTCTGGACCTGCGGTCGGACGGACAGACAAGGGGGTCACTCAGGGGGCAGGCAGGTGGACCAGCCCCCTGGGCGGCCCCTGTGCACGGCCCCTCCTCCGTGTCTCTGTGCAGCTCCCCCCGCCCACACCCCCGGATCCGCGGCCAGTGCCCGCCCAGCGGGCCCCGTCCCTCCCGCCTCCCGCCTCCGCTGTGCCCGCAGCCCACGCTGAGCCTGCCCCTGGCGTCCACTGTGCTCCCATCGCAGGAGCCGGTCCTCCGTGCCCAGCACATTGTAGCGCCGGGCAGGCGCCTGCGGGAGAGGCGGCCGCGCCGGGAGCCTCCGCTCACCGTGCGGCTCAGGAAGGTCCTCTCCAGGGCGCCCCAGATCTCCTCGTCCGAGTGCTGGCCAAAGGGGTCCAGGTTCAGCCTGCCCGGGAGGGAGGAGGCCGTGCTCGCACTTACCCGCCCGGGGCAGCCTCCGTCCACGGCGAGGGCGAGGCGAGGGCGAGGCGAGGGCGAGGCGAGGGCGAGGGCCGGGTTACAGGACCCCGGGGGCCCCGCGAGCGGGCATTTCCCTGGCCGGGTGGTACCTGTCCCTCTGCAGCAGCAGCCCCAGGTTTTGGGGGGCCAGCTGTGTCCCCAGCCCCCACGCCCAGGTGCTGAGGTGGGGCTCTCTCTCGGGGGTGAGCAAGTCACCGTGTTTGTCACTGTCACCATCTGTGAGTCTACGACTCCGGGCATCAGGGTGCTCCCCACGTGCGTGGCCATCACTGCCCCCTCCCTGTCTCAACAAACACTCCGCCCCAGCAAGCGCCTTAAGACCTAAACGCATTCGCTTCTCAGAAAACGCGGGGCTGCCGTGAGCGGGCGGAGGACAGGCGTGGCCTCAGGCGGGCGTGTTCCTGTGACTGTGTGAAGCCGGGAGAGAGCCCAGTGGGCGTGGCTCAGGGGGTCAGCATCGAACTGTGGACCAGGAGGCCCCGGCTCCATTCCCGGTCAGGGCACAGGCCGGGTTTCAGGCTCCCCAGGGTGAAGTGTGCAGGAGGCAGCCGTCCCGTGATTCTCTCTCATCTCTGATGTTTCTCTCTCTCTCTCCCCCACTCCCTTCCTCTCTGAGATAAATAAAAATATATCTTAAACAACGACATCTTGCAAACGTACCAGGGTCTCCGTCGACCTTGAGGGACAGCTCGGTCATAGGAGGTGGCCCCGAAACGGACGCCCCCCCCCCAGCCCTCGCCCGCTACGGGCCCGGGCCAACACGCACCGGATGGTGCCCGAGAACAGGACGGGGTCCTGAGGGATGACGGACAGCTTGGACCGCAGGTCCTCCAGGCTGACGCCGCTGATGTCCACGCCGTCGATGAGGATGCGGCCTGCCGTGGGCTCCGCCAGGCGGAAGAGCGCCGTCCCCAAGGAGGACTTGCCTGTGGGGCCGGACCGAGCCGGGCATCGCCTCCTGAGCCCGCACGGGGGCCGGCCCAGGCCACACCTGGCGCGCACCTGCCCGCTCCGCCCCTGTCATTCCCTCGTCTGTTCCCCGTCTCCTCCCCCGGACCCCCGGCCAGTGTCCGGGGCAGGGCGCGGCGTGTCAGGAGGGTCAGCACCCCGGGGTGCCTGTGCGAACCCCTGCCTGAGAACAGGCGGACGCCCGGGCTGCCGCTCACCGGAGCCGGTGCGGCCCACGATGCCCACCACCTCCTGGCCGCGGATGGTCAGGCTGATGCCCCTGAGGACGACGGGCGTGTTGTGGCGGTACCGCATCTGGTAGTCCTGGAAGCACAGCTCCCCGCGCTGCGGCCACGCGGCCGGGCGGCCCGCGGCCGTCCCCGGCGGCCCTGCCGCGGAGCCTCCGGGACGCACAGCTCGTGTTCGGAGAAAGAGGAAGCCGGCCGTTACCCTCCGCTCGGCTGCGCCCGGGCCTGTGGCCACCCCCGCTGCCCGGCCTCGGGGCCGAGCCCCGGCGGTGCCATCAGAGGGGCCCCCAGGCCATCCCTGCCCCGGCTCTGTCCCCGGAGGAGGGGGAGCCCAGAGCCGCCTCCTGGCTGCTAACGGGGAGGACTCGGGGGGGTGCCTGACGCGCTGCAGACAGAGCCTGAGCAGCCAGCGCGGGCGGCCGGGCGGGCGGCCCCCGCGGGGCGGGCTCAGCTCGGAGCCCTGGCCACGGGGCTCTGTTCCCGCCCGCGCGGTGGGCTTTCTCACACGCGTCTCACAGGCAAAGGCCAGGCTCGGACCGCGCAGAGGATGGCTCAGTGCGCACGGCTGGGGGGGCAGCGCGGACTCCAGCCCAGGCCGCCTGAGCCACACCCCAACGCCACGCGCAGTGGGCGTGTTGGGAGGAGACAGCGAGGGCGAAGACCAGGGTCCCGGCCCGGCTGCCCGCACAGCGTCCCCACAGCGTCCCGCGGGGTTAGGCCAAGGCTCTGCGGCTCCCGAGTCCCGCTCCCAGAACCGGCGGGGGCCCGGCCTCGGGAGGGGTGGGGGGGCTCCGACGGCCGGCTGTGTCACCGTGAGCCGGCGCCCAGGGGCCAGCCTCGGCGCCCTCTCCTGGGTAACAGGCCCGAGAGCGCGACGGCCTTCGCAGGGGCTCTGTGGCTCCTGAGATAATCTGTGTATCGTAGCCGCGAGCCTTTCCCTGGGCCGGGCCAGCCCAGCGCTGTGTGTGTCCGTCCGCTCACTGCTGCGACCCCCAGCCGAGTAGCTGCTGCGCGCCGTCCCGCTCAGAGACAGACAGAGGCCCCTGAGGCTCCCCCAGCTGCACCGCCCGTTCAGGGGCGAAGCTTAGACGTGAGCGGGGTGACCTGGCTCCAGAGCCTGCGCCCAGCCGCTGCGCGTGCGCAGGCGCGGCTCACGCCCGGCCTCGCTGCCGAACTCGCTCTCAGACCCGGCAGGCTGCCGCTTCTGCGAAGGGAAGCTTCCTCCCTGCACGCCAGGACGCGGCCCGCAGAGCCCAGAGAGGAGACAGACGGGAGGGCGGGAGGGCGGGCGGGGGCCGGAGCCCGGGGAAAGCCTCGGGGCCGGGCCAAGCAGAGCCCCCGGCACCGGCCGCACCCACCTTCCGGTACTGCAGCAGCCGCTCCACCGCCGTGAAGTAGGCCTCCGACTCGGAGCCCATGCGCACCATGGACTGGAAGGTGGACGCCAGCTGGCCGGGGGGAGGCCGCGGTCAGGCTGCCCGCTGCGGCTGCAGGAGGGCTCCCGCCCCGAGCCCCCGCGCCAGCCCCCTCACCTGCAGGATGAGGCTGATGGTCAGGGCTTGGTAGGAGGCGGGGGCCGAGGACGCCCCGAGGGCTATGAACAAGGCCACGGCCAAGGTCACCAGGTTGACTATGAGCTCCAGCCGCAGGGACACCCAGCGCGTGGAGGACAGGTACATCAGCTGGTAGTTGGTCTGCTTGTCGTTCAGCCTGTTAAACCTCGGGGGACAGGAGGCCCGGAGCCACCGCGTTGGTCTGCCCAAGGGCTGCCCAAGGCCGCCCTCTCGGCCGCTGCCCCTCCACATAACCCCCGGCCATCCGGCCCCACGGCCCCAGCCGCCCCCCCATACCCCCTGCCATCCTGCCCCATGGCCTTGCCGCCCCCTGCTACCCTCCCCCCCGTCCTGCCCCAGGGCCCCTCCGCCCCGCTACCTGCCCCCCACAACCCACTCCCTGTCCTGCCCCACTGCCCCGCCGCCCCCCTGCTACCCCCCCGTCCTGTCCCACGGCCCTGCCACCCCCCCTCACTACCTACCCCCGTCCTGCCCCAGGGCCCCTCTGCCCACCCCCCCCGCTACCCCCCCCCCCGTCCTGTCCCAGGGCCCTGCCACCCCCCCTCACTACCTACCCCCTGTCCTGCCCCAGGGCCCCCTCTGCCACCCCCCGCTACCCCCCCCCCCCGTCCTGTCCCACGGCCCTGCCACCCCCCCCTCACTACCTACCCCCGTCCTGCCCCAGGGCCCTCTGCCACCCCCCCGCTACCCCCCCCCCCGTCCTGCCCCAGGGCCCTGCCACCCCCCCTCACTACCTCCCCCCGTCCTGCCCCAGGGCCCCTCTGCCACCCCCCGCTACCCCCCTGTCCTGCCCCAGGGCCCCTCTGCCACCCCCCGCTACCCCCCCCCGTCCTGCCCCAGGGCCCCTCTGCCACCCCCCGCCAACCCCCCCCCGTCCTGCCCCAGGGCCCCTCTGCCACCCCCCGCTCCCCCCCCCGTCCTGCCCCAGGGCCCCAGGGACTCACTGGCGGACGAAGTCCTCGGCCTTCCCGTAGACGTGGATGGAGCTGAGGCCGCGCAGCGCGGTGAGGATGTGGGAGAAGACGGGGGAGCGGCTGTAGTTCTCCAGCCTCTTGAACACATTCATGGCCCGCTTCACCTTCCTGCAGGGGAGAGGCTGCGGCCGTCCGTCCGGGCGGTCCCCCCGCCCCCACCCCGGCCGGGGAGACCCTCACGCGTAGAAGAGGATGGAGGAGAGGCTGCGGCCGGCCGTCCGGGCGGTCCCCCCGCCCCCACCCCGGCCGGGGAGACCCTCATGCGTAGAAGAGGATGGAGGAGAGGCTGCGGCTGTCTGTCCGGGCGGTCCCCCCCTCCCCACGCCCAGGTGGTCCCCCCCCACCCCCGGCCGGGGAGACCCTCACGCATAGAAGAGGATGGAGGAGAGGCTGAGGCTGTCCGTCCGGGCGGTCCCCCCGCCCCCACCCAGGTGGTCCCCCCCCACCCCGGCCGGGGAGACCCTCACACGTAGAAGAGGATGGAGGAGAGGCTGAGGCTGTCTGTCCGGGCGGTCCCCCCGCCCCCACCCCGGCCGGGGAGACCCTCACACGTAGAAGAGGATGCAGCCGGCGAACAGGACGGCCCCGATGGCCAGGATGTAGGGCGACAGCACGCTGACGATGGCCATGTTGATGAGCACCAGCAGCAGCAGCAGCAGGAACTCCTCGGTCACGATGGGCAGCTGCTGGTCCAGCTGGTCCAGGTCCCCCGCGAAGCAGTTGAGCAGCCGGCCCGTGGGCGTCGTGTCGAAGAAGCTCATGGGGCAGAGGGAGACCTGCAGGGACGGCGCGGCCTTAGGGGAGGCCTGGGGGCAGCGCCGGGCCCCAGCGTGCGGACGCCTCCATCTGCTGCTGGGTGGCCCGGGCAGGTGGCTTCCCTCCTCTGAGCCTGAACAAACCCCGAGCCACGCGGACCGGACCACGCCTGCTGGTGCCCTCACCATCGGAAGCCTGACGCCCCCCACGTGGCACACGGGGACATGTGACGTGCGAGAGAGAGCCGGGACACCTCTACGACGTCATCGGCTGCCCCCCAGCGGGAGGGACATCACAGACCGCTTGGTGTTCTAGCCAGGACGCCTGGTGCTCCCACCGCAGGGGGAGGGCAATGCCAGGGATCTTGGGACAGTCCTGCGTGTGACAGTGCTCGGCCCACCGAGGCCAGCGCTGGTGTGACTCTGACCCTCAGCAAGGCCAGTGAACGGCTAGGACCCGCCGCCAGCAGCAGGTGTGACCCGCCCCCGTCCACCTGGGGACCTGCTGTCCACTTACAACCTTGGGACACTCGGCAACAGGCAAAACCAGGGAGACAGAAAGCAGGTGCTGGGGGGCTGTGGGGAGGCGTGGGAGGCGTGGACAGACAGCCCGGGACTTTTGGGGCAGTGAAGATAGTCTGAGCACACATTTGTCAAAACAGCGGAAACAACGAATTCCCCGATGCGTAGCACCAGTCCCAGCCGGCCTGTGTCCCAGCGGGGCCTCGCCTGGGCACTTCCAAGCCCAATCCCAGTAGCTGCCATCTGCAGATCTCTCTGTAGCTCCTGCCGGTGGCCCCAGAGCCAGTGACCCAGTGTGTGTGTGTGTGTGTGTGTGTGTGTGTGTGTGAGGGGGGTGTGTGCATAGAATGTGCACCAGCCGGCCAAAACCGGTTTGGCTCAGTGGATAGAGCATCGGCCTGTGGACGGAAAGGTCCCAGGTTCGATTCCAGTCAAGGGCATGTACCTTGGTTGCGGGTACATCTCCAATAGGGGGTGTGCAAGAGGCAGCTGATCGATGTTTCTCTCTCATCGATGTTTCTGACTCTCTATTCCCCTCTCTTCCTCTCTGTGAAAAAATCAATAAAATATATATTTGGGGGGAAAAAAAAAGTGCACCAGCCGGAGGGAACCCCAGTGTAAACGGTGGACGTTCGGTAACGATGACGATGACCGGTCCGTATTGCTCGTCAGCTGGAGCAGGCGTCCCGCACGCAGGCACGGGGTTCGAGTGGCGGGGTGAGGGCCTGGGGGAACGCTGTGCTTTTCTCAACCCCAAGAGCACCGCTCTCGAAGGCCAGCTGCCCCGCCCGCAGCGCCGCCCCCGCGCCGGCCGCGCACCTTGCTGAAGAGGCCGTTGTGCAGCGCGGTGGAGGCCTTCCTGGTGGCCTGGGTGAAGGCCAACGAGGAGCAGACCCCCAGGCAGGCCAGGGCCAGCGTGCTGAGGCCCAGCACCGTCTCGTAGAAGGACAGGCGCGGGTTGTCCAGGATGTTGCCCGGGTCCGAGGTGCTTCTGTTGCTCTCGTGGCTGCTGTTGGTCTTTGAGAAAGAACGGGGAGGCGGGGGGGGGGGGGGTGTATAAGTATCTGTGGCCTCTGTCCCGGCTCCTGGCCCAGAGCCCCCTGTGGTGCCCCGAGCCTGGAGCTGGGAGCATGCTCTGCTCGCACCCTTGGCCTCCGGCTCTGCCCCAGACACTCCGTTGTCTGAGACCAGGGAGTTCCTGGCAGCCCCTGGCGGGTGCTGAGCCTGGAGGGAGGCCTGTCACCAGAAAGCTGCGCGGTGGAGGCTGGAGCCTCCGCCCACCCCGCCCTCCAGGGAGGGGCTGGTGACATCAGTCACTCCCGGGCCCCCAGAGGAAGCCAGACTCCCGGGGATTCCAGCACTGAGGCGCGTGCCCAGGGGGCCCCGGCCCAGGTACACCACCCGCCTGAGCTGCCCAGTGCTGCCCGAGGCTGTCCTGTGGGCTCAGCCCAACCCCCCTCCCCGCTCCTGTGGGCTCAGGGACACCCCCCTGCTCCCTAAGGGGCTCAGGGACCCCGCCCCCCCCCCCCCCGCTCCTGTGGGCTCAGGGACCCCGCCCCCCCTTCCCGCTTCCCCTCCCCGCTTCCCCTCCCCGTCCCCCCTCCCCGCTCCTAAGGGGCTCAGGGACCCCGCATCCCCCTCCCTGCACACCCCCCCCCGCTCCTAAGGGGCTCAGGGACCCCGCACCCCCTCCCTGCACACCCCCCCCCCCGCTCCTAAGGGGCTCAGGGACCCCGCACCCCCTCCCCGCACCCCCCCCTGCTCCTAAGGGGCTCAGGGACCCCGCATCCCCCTCCCTGCACACCCCCCCCCCGCTCCTAAGGGGCTCAGGGACCCCGCACCCCCTCCCTGCACACCCCCCCCCGCTCCTAAGGGGCTCAGGGACCCCGCATCCCCCTCCCCGCTCCTAAGGGGCTCAGGGACCCGGAGCAGCCTGCACGGGCCTGAGAGCCTCACTCTGACCTCTACACTCACAAGGGGGAGTCCCGGGAGGGGGGCGCCTCGTGTCATGCCCCCATGACCCCAGCCAGCAGGCAGCCTGAGGTGGGCGGGCCTCCTGGAGGTGTCCGTCTCTGCCTGGCCCGTCCCCCCTCCGCTCCTTGGTTCTCCCTCTAAGATGCGCCGGTTCCCTCTGCCCAGAGCAGAGCAGCTCCTGGGCTTCCCACGCCCCCCCGCACCTCCCCGTCCCCCCTCCCCCGCCCCCCCCCCCCCCCCCCCCCCCCCGCCTCCCCGTCCAGCAGGTCTCCCTCCGGCGGCCGCCCCGCCCGTCGCCCGCCCGCGGTGTGCAGAGCCGGCCTGCCTGGGCCCCAGAGAAGCCTCTGGGTTTTGTCCCCAAAAGACCACCGGGGGCGGTTCAGGCTGTGAGCGCGGGGCGCCCCGGGCGGAGGCTCCCAGGGTCCTCCCTGGGCCGGGCCGGGGTCCCAGCCGGGGCCCCAGAGAGGCCGCGCCCTCCGCCCAGCGCACCCTCGCCCGCACTCACCCCGGAGCCCTGCTCCAGCCAGTAGCTCAGCCACCAGAAGTAGAAGGCGGACAGGAAGATGAACAGCATCATGAGCAGGAGCACACCCGCGGCCACCGCATACCCTGCGGGGAGGGCATTGCTGTGGCCGGAGCTGCCGTACCGAGCGGCGGGGACGGTGCGAGGTGTGCCCCCCCCCGGGCCCGGCCGCCCCTGACCCCCCGCCCGGGGCCCGGCCGCCCCTGACCCCCCGCCCGGGGCCCGGCCGCCCCTGACCCCCCGCCCGGGGCCCGGCCGCCCCTGACCCCCCGCCCGGGGCCCGGCCGCCCCTGACCCCCCTCCCGGGGCCCGGCCACGGGCACCTCCAGCCGCCTGGATGTAGTGGTGGTAGACACGCCATGAGGGGGACCCCTGCTCCATCTTCTCCTGCTGGGTGAGCTGGTTCTGCAGCCCTGGGGGGGTGAGGGGGAGGAGGAGAAGGAGGAGGGGGAGGAGGAGGAGGTGGAGGAGGAGGAGGAGGGGGAGGAGGAGGAGGAGGAGGAGAGGAGGAGGAGGAGGAGTTGTTTCTCCCAGCTTCTCCCAGCGCCCTGCGCCTGCCCCTCCCGTCCCTCGCCTCCGGAGGCAGCGCCCACCCAGCTGCCCCAACCCACGGGAGACCCTGCCCCCGGAGCCCGGAAAGGGGTCCTTCCCCAGCCATTCAGCCCCGAGGGCCTGGCGCCCTGAGGGTGGGTCGGGGCGGCTGCAGAGAAGGGGGCAGAGGGGACCGGGGGCCAGGGTCCTGTTCCTAACGGCCTTCGCACACTGCACCCGGAGACAGGCCTCTCTGCCCCGTCTGCCGGTGGAGAGGGGCTCACAGCGCGGCTTCTGCAGCGGCCGGGGCCCCGGCTCACCTGCGCTGTCCTCAGGGGGCTCCCCCGGGAGGGGGTGCTGGGCCGGGCCGCCCGGAGGCTCTGGGGCCGCCTGCAGCGTGTCCTGGGGAGGCAGGGCTGTGAGCGAGGGGGCTCCTCCCGGGGGTGGGCGGGCGGGCGGGCGGGGCGGGGCGGGGCGGCGGGCACCTGTGCGGCCTCCCCGTGCATGGTCTGGAGGAGGCGGGCGTACCGCCCCCCCCTCTGCATCAGCTCCCGGTGCGCCCCCTGCTCGCAGATCTTCCCGTCCGCCAGCAGCAGCACCTGGTCGCAGAACTGCAGCCACTGCGGGGCGGGAGGGGGTCCCAGTGAGCGCCCAGCGCCGCGCAGCGCCTCCGTGCAGAGGCCGAGCCCCGAGCCAGGTGCAGTGTCACTGACCCCGAGGCCAGCGCCCTCGGGGGGGCCCTCGGCATCGATGGGCTGCCTCCTGCACCGCCCTGATCGGGGCCGGGGAACCTGCAGCCAAGGGACGTGTCCTCGCCCGGAATCGAACCCGGGACCCGTCAGTCCCGGCTGAATGCTCTGACCACTGGGTCACACCGGCCAGGGCCCTTTGGAAAGCTCTTTGTGCCTTTTTTTTTTTTTTTTTTTTATGCCAGAAAGACAGCGCGGCTCAGCCAGAAGAGGAGGGAGAAAGAGCGACAGTGTCTTGAGCCCAAAGCCAAGGACAGCAGGTGCAGAGGGAAGGGCCGGCGGGGGAGGCGTGGGGTTCCTCCTGAGGAACGTTTTCTCTTTCTCTGCTTCCAGAGTGCTGGCCCCTGCCGTGCGGAAGGCAGAGGGAGCCTGGACATGGGTCTGGACGCTCACCAGCCCGTCCCCCAGCACAGAGGGGCGGGGAGGCCGAGTCTGTACCCCACACCCCACGGGGGTCTGGTCTGAGGGGGAGGGGGAGGGGGTCTGGTCTGAGGGGGAGGGGAGGGGGGAGGGTCTGGTCTGAGGGGGAGGGGGAGGGTCTGGTCTGAGGGGGAGGGGAGGGGGAAGGGTCTGGTCTGAGGGGGAGGGGGAGGGGGAGGGGGGTCTGGTCTGAGGGGGAGGGGGGTCTGGTCTGAGGGGGAGGGGGGGTCTGGTCTGCGGGGGAGGGGGGGGGAGGGTCTGGTCTGAGGGGAGGGGGAGGGCTGGTCTGATGGGGGAGGGGGAGGGGGCGGGTCTGGTCTGAGGGGGAGGGGGAGGGGAGGGTTCTGGTCTGCGGGGGAGGGGAGGGGAGGGGGGTCTGGTCTGCGGGGGAGGGGGAGGGTGAGGGGAGGTTGGTCTGCGGGGGAGGGGAGGGGGAGGGGGAGGGGAGGTCTGGGTCTGAGGGGGAGGGGGGGAGGGTCTGGTCTGGGGGAGGGGGGAGGGGGGAGGGGTCTGGTCTGAGGGGGGAGGGGGAGGGGGAGGGGAGGGGGAGGGGGTCTGGTCTGCGGGGGAGGGGGAGCCGCCCCGAGGGGTCACCTGCAGCTGGGCGTCACCAGCACCACCGTCTTGCCCGCAGCGCCTTCCGGATGCACTCCTCGAAGATGTGGCGCCCCACGTGGCGTCCACGGCGGGACAGCGGGTCGTCCAGCAGGTAGGTCTCGCGGTCCGAGTAGACGGCGCGGGCCAGGCTGATCCTCTGCCGCTGCCCCCCCGAGAGGTTGAGGCCCCGCTCCCCGATCTGCGGACGGCGAACCAGGGGCGCCGTGGCGGAGGGTGGGCGCAGCCAGGCGGGCCCTCGGCGCTCCCCACGTGCGGGCGGGCGGGAAGCGCATCCCGGGGGAGGGTGGGGGAGGCACGTGGCCCAGGAAGCGCCGCTCACTGACGCCGCGGGACGGGCATGAGGGCCGCGGACAAGCCGCCCGCTCCCCTCGCGGGTCAGACGGGAGCCGCGAACGACAGAACAAAATAAACAAACTGGGGGACCGAGGCCACGGGGCCTCCGAGGAGGAGGGTGCCGGCCGGTGAGGGACCGGGCGGGGACGGGCAGGTTCTGCGTCTCAAACCCCCCGATGGGGGCCGCTCTGGGCAGAAGCTGGGGCCCCTCTGTGCCCGGAGGCGCCGACACCTCCCTCTTGCCGCTCACTCACCTCCGTGCTGTCCCCGAAGGGCAGGATCTCCAGGTCTCGGGCCAGGCAGCAGCAGTGGAGCGCCTGGCGGTACCTGCAAGGCGGGGGCCTGAGGGCACGGCAGGCCCTGCCCCCGGGGGAGGGGACACTCCCACTCCCGGCTCAGCCGGCTAAGGAGACTTTGGAGAGAGGAGCTTGGGTGGGAGAGAGACGCATCGATTGGCTGCCTCCTGCATGTGCCTGGGTGGGCCCGGGATCAGACCCAGACCCAGGCCTGTGCCCTCGCCCTGGACCCGGCAGTCCTCGGGCCGGCGCGCTGGCCACTGAGCCACACCAGCCAGGGCCCCTGGCCACGTGGCTTTCCTTAGGAGCGACCGCCAGCGCAGTTCCTTGTGCATTTATTCGGGAGCAGCCCATTCCCCTGCACGTGTGCGGCTGACACCGTTCAAGGCCCCGCAGTGTCCCATCACAGGCACACGTGGTCTACGTATGACACGGTGCCCCCGGGGTGGACACGGGGTCTCCTAGTCCTCAGCTGCTGTGCCACACGTCGTGTGGACACGCTTGTGCACGGGTCCCGTGCTCGGGTGAGGTCCTGGGTGGCGTGCCCAGCAGCCCGGCCGGGCTTGTTTGGACAGATATTCTGAGAGGGCCTGGGCCCTGTCGGCGCAGGGCAGTGCGGTGACCGGACGAGGGCTGTGTGAGGGCGACACCCCTGGGGGTGGGCACGGGGAGAAGCGGGAGCCAGGGTGCCCAGGGCAGAGCCAGCGGCCAGTCCCAGCCGGACACCCAGCGCAGAGCTGGCCGCCCGAGGAGCAGAGAGACGGAGGGAGGGAGGGAGGGAGCGCCGTCGATGAGAAGGGGCGGCGTGAGGAGGGGCCTGGCTCCGGAGAGCCATCCCGGGATCGGCCAGCAGCTCAGCAGCTGGTGCTGGCCCCGGCCTGGAGCTGGCCGGTGAGAACCCCTCCAGGCCTGTGCCCTCCCGGCTGTGACTGGGGGAGCGGCCGATTGCAAAGTCACCGAGGCCGAGCCCGGGAAGCTGGGAGCCGGGCTGGCCTGCGGGCTCGGTGTGTCCCCCGCCCCGTCCGTGCGGCACAGACTCTCATGGTCACCGGGGGATGGGAGCGTGTGAGCAGGCCACGCCGGCCCCCCACCACCAGCCACGAGCCCGGCTGATGCCTCCCCACTGACAGCCTCCTCGGCCTCCTGACCGCCCTCTGGCTCTGAGCTCAGGAAGGAATCCACACAGACACCCGGGAAGCTAGCCGGGGGGCGGTGGGGGGCCACAGACTGAAGCAGGGAGCCCTGGGGTTTCTGACAGCCACGGGGCTCAGGCCCAGCCCCGGCACGTCCCATCCGCTCTGGCCACGCGGCCGCACCTCTTGGGGCCTCGGCTGCCCGGCCTGGAGCGTGGAGGTGGCCGTGGCCTTCCTGTCTGAGCCAGGAGGGCGGTGCTGGGGCCGCACTCAGAGGGCCCCTCGCAGCGGGGCTTGGGGAGGTGGGGGAACCCTCCCCTGACAGCCCCCCGCCCCGTCCTCCCGCCCGCCCGCCCCGAGCTTACCGCGCCTGGTCCCACTGGCTCCCCATGAGGATGTTGTCCCGGACGCTGCCCGAGACGAGCCAGGCCTGCTGGGGCACGTAGGCCAGGCTGCCCCGCACGCCCACCGCGCCCTCCAGCAGGTGCATCTGCGGGCGAGAGTCAGCTCAGGGCGGCGCGGGGACGGCCCGGCCCTCCGCCTCGGACCCCGGGCTCAGCCTGGCCCTCCGCCTCGGACCCCGGGCTCAGCCTGGCCCTCTGCCTCGGACCCCGGGCTCGCCTATGAAATGGGACTTGGGATGGCATGCTCCTGCCCGCCGGCTGGCTCAGGGGTGGAGTGTCGACCTATGAACCAGGGGTCATGGTTCAGTTCCCCGTTAGGGCATGTGCCCGGGTTGTGGCTTGGTCCCCAGTGGGGGGCGTGCAGGAGGCAGGCGGTCCCTGATTCCCTCTCATCATGGATGTGTTTCTCTCTCTCTCCCCTTCTCCCTTCCCTGAAATAAAAACATATTTTTAAATGGGAACCTCCATTGCACAACCACAGGGACCTGAATTTAAAAACAAAACAAAACAAAAGAACAACATGCTCCCTCCCGGCCCCCCAGGGAGTCTTGTGACCCCGAGAACGCGGAGCTAAACCGGGACGTTCCTGCAGGGCCCGAGCAGGGTGTGCGTGGACACGCCGAGCTTTTCCCGCTGGTCCCCAGCCCCCCTCCATGGGCCGGCCGCCCAGCCGCCCTGACCTGCCTGGCGCATGGGGGTGGGGGGGCGGCCCTCGTGTTCTGGACGCCGTAGTGGCAGAGGGCCCCGTCGCTGCCCAGTGAAACGGCCACAGAACGTGTTTCTGCGCACGCGGCCAGCGCCAGCCCCGCCGTCTGGCCCGCGGGCAAGCGGCCGTCCCGCCGCGCTCCTGCTCCTCGGGGAGACTCACCTCCCCCAGGAAGGCCGACAGCAGGCTGCTCTTGCCGCTCCCGGTGCTGCCGCAGACGCCCAGCAGGGTCCCCTGGAACCCAGCACAGCCGCGTCGGCACGACGGCCCCACGCCGGCCGCGCCAGGGGCTCGCACACAGAACCCCCGGCAGAGGCCACACGGCCACGCACACCTGCAGGCGGATCCGAGGCTGGGGACCGGCGACAGCGGGCGGCCGCCCAGGAAGGCCGCCGAGTGGCGATGGCACAGGGGCTTGTGGGTAGGGGGTCCCGGGAGGAGAGAAGCCCAGGTCCAGACCTGCCTGCATTCCCTGCACCTGCTTCTCCCTCTGGAAAGCCCGGACAGCAAAGCCTGGTTCGCAGTGTCCCCCATTCACTCACTCACTCACGTCACTCAAGGCAACGCACCACGCACGCAGGGCACGCAACGCACGCCACTGCATTCACGCACGCACCACGGCACGCAGGCACGCACGCAGGCACCACGCCCGGGACGCACGGCAGGCATCGCACGCACGCACGCAGGCACGCACGCAACGCACGGCACGGCAACGCACCGCACGCACGCAACGCACGGCATGGCACACGCACGTCACGCACGCAGGCACGCAGGCACGCACGCAGGCACTGCCACGCACGGACGCCGCAGGCCAGCACGCATCGCACGCAGTCACGCTCACGCACGCACGCACGGACGCACGGCAGGCACGCACGCACGCGCATGCACGCACGCACGCACGCTACGACGCAGGCACGCACGCACGCAGGCCCGCACGCAGGCAGCGCACGCACGCACGCACGCCAGCACGCACGCACGCACGCACGCAGTCACGCACGCACGCACGTCCACGCAGGCCACTGCACGCACGCACGCAGGCACGCACGCATGGCACGCACGCACGCACGCACGCAGGCACGCACGCACGGACGCACGCAGGCACGCCACGCACGCACGCAGGCACGTCACGCACGCACAGCACGCAGCGCACGCACGCACGCACGGCACGCATGCACGCACGCACGCAGGCACGCACGCACGCAGCGCACGCACGGCACGCACGCACGGACCCCGCACGCAGGCACGCACGGACGCACGCAGTCAACGCACGCACGTCAACGCACGGACCGCACTGCAGGCACGCACGCAGGGCACGTCAAACGCACGGACGCACGCAGGCACGCCACGCACGCACGCAGGCACGCACGCCGCAGGCCCACGCACCGCAACGCACGCAGGCAGCGCACGCACTCACGCACGCAGGTCACGCCGCACGGGCACGCACGCACGCAGGCACTGCACGGCACGGCCAAACGCACGCAGCACTGGAACCGCACGCACGGCAGGCCATCGCTCACGCACGCACGCACGCAGGCACGCACGTCAGGGTCACGCCACACGGCACGCACGCCAGGCACGCACGCAACGCACTGAGGCACGCACGCACGCACGCAGGCAACGCACCTCACGCTCGCACGCACGCAGGCACGCACGCACGCACGCACGCAGGCACGCACGCACGAGCACGCAGGCACGCCCGCCCGCACGCACGCAGTCACGCACTCACGCTACGCACGCAGGCACGCAGCAGTCACGCACGCCAGCAGGCACGCACGCACGCACGCACGCAGGCACGCACGCAGCAGGCACGCACGCAGGCAGGCGGCACGCACTCACGCACGCCGGCACTCAGCAGGCACGCAGGCACTCACGCACGGCACTCACGCATTCACGCACGCAGGCACGCACGCACGGACGCAGGCACGCACGCACGCACGCACGGCAGGCACGCGACGCACGCACGCAGGCACGCACGCACGCACGCACGCAGTCAGCACGCACGCACGCCCGCACGCCGGCATCGCACCTACGCATCGCAGGCACGCCACGCACGCACGCTACGCAGGCACGCACGCAGGCACGCACGCACGGACACGCATGCACGGCACGCACGCATCGACGCACGCAGGCACGCACGCACGCACGCACGCACGCACGCACGCACGCACGCACGCACGCACGCACGCAGGCACGCCTCGCACGCACGCACGCACGCAGGCACGCAGCACGCACGCACGCAGGCACGCACGCATCGCACTCGCAGGCAGGCACGCACGCACGCACGCACGCACGCACGCACGCACGCACGCACGCACGCACGCCGGCCGCACGCACGCACGCACGGCCGCCACGCAGCACGCACGCAGGCACGCACGCACGCACGCACGCCGAGGCACGCACGCACGCACGCAGGCACGCTACGCACGGCACGCACGCATCCTCAGCACGCACGCACGCACGCACGCTGGCACGCACGCACGCACTGCACGCAGTGCACGCACGCACGCACGCCGGCACGCAGCAGTCACGCACGCACGGACGCACGCAGGCACGCACGCACGCACGCAGGCACGCACGCACGCACGCAGCAGCACGCACGCACGGCACTCACGCAACGCATCCACGCACGCACGCAGGCACGCACGGCACGCACGCAGGCACGCACGCACGCACGCATCTCAGGCACGCACGCACGCACGCAGGAACGCAGTCACGCACGCTACGCAGGCACGCACGCAGGCACGCACGCACGCAGGCACGCCCGCACGCACGCACGCACCAGGCACGCACGCACGCCACGCACTCACGCACGCAGGGCCCACGCACGCACGCACGCACGCAGGGCACTCACGCACGCAACGCACGCAGGCACGGCACTCACGCACGCACGCAGTCAGGCAGCACGCACGCAGTCACGCACGCACGCACGCATCGCGAGGGCACGCTACGCTACGCACGCAGGCACGCACGTCACTCACTCACGCAGGCACTCACTCACGCACTCATTCACTCACTCACTCACTCACCATTCACTCACTCCATTTCACTCACTCACTCATTCACTCACTTCATGACACTCATTCACTCACTCACTCACTCATTCACTCACTCACTCACTCACTCATTCACTCACTCACTCACTCACTCATTCACTCACTCACTCACTCATTCACTCACTCACTCATTCACTCACTCACTCACTCATTCATTCACTCACTCATTCACTCACTCATTCACTCACTCATTCATTCATTCACTCATTCACACTCATTCATTCACTCATTCACACTCATTCATTCACTCATTCACACTCATTCATTCACTCATTCATTCACTCATTCATTCACTCACTCATTCATTCATTTGCCCACCAAAGGGTCATTTGGGTTTCTCCTATGCGCTAAGCCAGTGGTCAGCAAACTCATTCGTCCACAGAGCCACATAGCTACAGGACAACAATTGAAATTTCTTTGGAGAGCCACGTTTTTAAACTTAAACTATATAGGTAGGTGCATTGTTATTAACTTAATTGGGCACTCCTAAGCTGGCCTTTGTTAAACACTCAAGGGGCCGAAGAGCCGCGTGTGGCTCTCGAGCTGCAGTTTGCTGGCCACTGCGCCGAGCAGTAAGAAAAGACCTCCCGGGAGCCCCCTGCTGGGGGGAGAGGGCCAGTGCTGCAGAGAAGCGAGCAGACACACCAGCAGGGGGTGAGGAGTCAGAAATCGGAGAGTGGGGGCTGGAGCCGTTTGAGATGGATTGTGCTTTAAAGGGAGGTTTGGGGAGGACAGGTTTCAGCCAAGGAAAGGGGGCGGGGGGGGGGGGAGTGCCGGGCCAGGCTCCCAGCCTCAGGCCCGCCCGCCTGGCCGGACCAGGCTACCTTTGCCACCGCCAGGTGGATCCTGTGCAACGCAGGGGCCAGGCTGTCCCCCGTGCCTGCGGGCCCCAGGCCACCTGGCGGGGGCGTCCCCTCGGGAGCGTGTCCGTTGCTGTCTGGCTCCGCGGCCCTGTTGGCCAGCTCGGGGCGGGCCCTCTGCCAGGACAGCGTGGCCTTCTCCAGCACCAGCGCCTTGCTGGGGTCGGTCCCCGCCTGGACGTACAGCACGGGGCTCTCCTGCAGGAAGAACCGCTGCCGGCGAGAGGAGGCGGGCGGGGGGGAGGGGGAAGGGGAGGGGGGAGGGGAGAGGGAGGCGGAGGGCAAGGGGGAGGGGGGGAGGGGGAGAGGGAGGGGGGAGGGCAAGGGGGACGGGGGAGGGGGGAGGGGGTTAGGGAGGAGGGGAGGGGGAGGGGAGGGGGAGGGGGAGGGGGAGGGGGGAGGGAGGGGAAGGGAGGGGGAGGGGGAGGGGGAGGGAGGGGGAGGGAGGGGGAGGGGGGCAGGGAGGGAGATGAGGGGGGGAGGGGGAGAGGGGGGGGGGGGGAGGGGGGGAGGGGGAAGGGACGGAGGGGGGGGGGGGGGGGGGGGGGGGGGGGGCGTCAGGCCAGCAGCCAGGAGGGATGTCCCCCTGCGGCCGGCCCGGGACCGGCCTGTGAGCGAACAGACAGCGAGAGGATGCAGAGCCGCCGTCCACCGGGGGAGGCCGGTTCCCGTTGGGAGGCTCTAAACCGAGGGGTTTCCGGTGTCCACACCCCCGGGCCCTCGTTCCTTTCGGAACGCCCCCCCATTCCTCACGCTCTCTCTCGTTTTACAGTGTCGGCAGCCGGAGCCACGCTGGCCTCGTCGTCGCAGTGACCACAGCTGTGGAGTCACAGAATCGACGTGCCGGTTCTGTTTCACTTATAAGCAGAGAAAGTCAAAGTGGCTCAGCGGTGGAACCTCAACCCCGGACGCAGGAGGTCACGGTTCGATGCCCGGTCGGGGCCCAGGCCCGGGGTGGGCTCCATCCCCAGTGGGGGGCGTGCAGGAGGCCGCCGGTCCCTGAGTCTCTCTCCCCCTCTTTCTGAAGATACGATGTCAGTATGATGGGGAGCCGGGGAGCCCAGGCACCGGCTGTGGGTGCGAGTCACTGTGATTCCGGCCCTTTGGGTGGAGCCTCAGCTTTCCACAGTGAGCGCCTCGTGTTTTATAAAAATAAAACGATATTTTCACAGGGACTGAGAGGAGGGCTATTTCTTCATTGTTTAAAGCAAGGGACCGTGTTTTGTCTCACTGGATGCATGTCCAGGCCAGGGACTCCGGCCTCCTCCGCCGGCCCCTTCACTGTGTGTGTGAGGTGAGCCCCACCCTGTGCCTGTCCATGGTCCTTCCCAACTCATCCCCTGCCTGGCGCGGACTGGGCGCTCCGTGCCCTCCAAGCTCCCGCCCACACCCCCAACCACTGTCCCCCCACCCCCAACCACTGTCCCCCACACCCCCGACCACTCGTCCCCCCACACCCCCAACCCCACTGTCCCCCCCACACCCCCGACCCCACTGTCCCCCCACACCCCCAACCACTGTTCCCCCCACCCCCCACCCACTGTCCCCCCCACCCCCGACCACTGTCCCCCCACCCCCCCACCCCCTGCCCCCCCACACCCCCGACCACTGCCCCCCCCACCCCAACCCACTGTCCCCCCACACCCCAACCACTGTCCCCGCCCACACCCCAACCACTGTCCCCCCCACACCCCCAACCACTGTCCCCCCCACACCCCCAACCACTGTCCCCCCACACCCCCAACCACTGTCCCCCCACCCCCCAACCACTGTCCCCGCCCACCCCCCAACCACTGTCCCCCCACACCCCCAACCACTGTCCCCGCCCACACCCCCAACCACTGTCCCTGCCCACCCCCCAACCACTGTCCCCCCACACCCCCAACCACTGTCCCCCCCACCCCCAACCACTGTCCCCCCACACCCCAACCACTGTCCCCCCACACCCCCAACCACTGTCCCCCCACACCCCCAACCACTGTCCCCCCACACCCCAATCACTGTCCCCCCACACCCCCAACCACTGTTCCCCCCCCACACCAACCACTGTTCCCCCCACACCCCAACCACTGTCCCTGCCACCCCCCAACCACTGTCCCCCACACCCCCAACCACTGTCCCCGCCCACCACCCCAAACCACTGTCCCTGCCCAACCCCCCAACCACTGTCCCCGCCCACCCCCAACCACTGTCCCCCCACACCCCCAACCACTGTCCCCGCCCACCCCCAACCACTGTCCCCCCCACACCCCAACCCACTGTCCCCCCACCCCCCAACCACTGTCCCCCCCACACCCCCAACCACTGTCCCCGCCCCCCCCCCCAACACTGTCCCCGCCACACCCCAACCACTGTCCCTGCCCACCCCCCAACCACTGTCCCCCCACACCCCAAACCACCTGTCCCCGCCCACCCCCAACCACTGTCCCCCAACCCAACCACTGTCCCCCCACACCCCAACCATGTCCCCCCACACCCCCAACCACTGTCCCGCCCACCCCCCAACCACTGTCCCCCCCACACCCCCAACCACTGTCCCCCCCCCACACCAACCACTGTCCCCCCACACCCCAACCACTGTCCCTGCCCACACCCCCAACCACTGTCCCCGCACCACCCCCAACCACTGTCCCCGCCCACACCCCCAACCCACTGTCCCTGCCCACCCCCCAACCTCTGTCCCCGCCCACCCCCAACCACTGTCCCCCCACACCCCAACCACTGTCCCCGCCCACCCCCAACCACTGTCCCCCCACACCCCCAACCACTGTCCCCCCACACCCCCAACCACTGTCCCCCCCACACCCCAACCACTGTCCCCGCCCACCCCCCAACCACTGTCCCCGCCCACACCCCCAACCACTGTCCCCCCACACCCCAACCACTGTCCCCCCACACCCCAACCACTGTCCCACACACCCCCAACCACTGTCCCTGCCCACGCCCCCCGGAACCACTGTCCCGCCCACGCCCCCCAGAACCACTGTCCCGCCTGCAGGAGGATTGCCCAGGGCCTGGAGGCAGGCGAGCGCCCAATGCCAAGGCCGTGCAGCCCACCCTGCCCGCTCACCTTGAACCTCTCGGCCGCAGACTGGGACTCCCTGAGGCCTCTGACCGAGAAGGGCAGGAAGAACACCACCAGCCGCATGGAGTTCCAGATGGCCAGGACCGTGAAGGCCTGGCGGGGCGAGAGAGGTGGTGAGGGCGCCCCTGCCGTCCCTCCCTCCCCGGGCCCGGCCCTGAGCCTGGAGCCACAGCCCTGGACCACAGCCCTGGAGCCACAGCCCACAGGCAGGCCCTGCCCTTGGCAGCGGCCACGCTGGGGTGGGGGAGACGGAAGAAACGGGTCTTATTCGCGTCCCCGCGGCTGAGGCCTCTCCCGCTGTCGCCTCCCAGGGGGGAGAGCGTGACTGGGCGTCGCCAGGAGCCGGAGCCTGGGCCGGGAGGCCGTGGGGAGCACTGGCAGGCAGCGGCGGGCTGTGCTGCTGGCAGCCGGCAGGCGGTGTGGCTGCTGAGGTCACCTTCGTCCCCCTCCTCAGACCGGCTTTCTCTTATTGGGAGCCTCTGCGCGGCGCCCGCCCGGCCCACACCTCGCTCCCGCCCGAGAATGTTCCCTCCCCCCTTCCAATCTCTCTTAAAAATCATTGGGGGGAAAATACCCTCAGGTGTTTTTAAAGTGGACATGATACAGATATAGATAAAGATATAAAGATAAAGATATAGAGATAGATACAGATACAGATATAGATACAGATATAGATATAGATATATAGACATAGGTATAGATATAGATAGATATAGATACAGATACAGATACAGATATACAGACATAAGTATAGATATAGATATAGATATAGATATAGATTTAGATATAGATTTAGATATAGATATATAGACATAGGTATAGATATAGATAGATATAGATACAGATACAGATATAGACATAAGTATAGATATAGATATAGATATAGATATAGATATAGATATAGATACAGATATAGATACAGATATATAGACATAAGTATAGATATAGATTTAGATATAGATATAGATATAGACATAAGTATAGATATAGATATAGATAGATATAGATATAGATATAGATATAGATATAGATATAGATAGATATAGATACAGATATAGATATAGATATAGATATAGATAGATATAGATACAGATATAGATATAGATAGATATAGATATAGATAGATATAGATACAGATATAGATACAGATACAGATACAGATAGATACAGATACAGATACAGATACAGATACAGATACAGATACAGATATAGACTTAGGAACAGTATATGATGCACTCCGATGGGCCTGACTCCGCCCGCTCTGAGCACTGTGTGCCTCACGCCTGGGCCGGCAGAGCAGACTGCTGCAGGAGGGTGGACCCGCCCTCCCCGCTGTGTGCCCCGCCCTCCTCTCCTCAAAGGGCGGGATCCCTGCTCCTGCCCAGGGCGGGGCAGGCCCCACAGGGAGAGACAGACGAAGCTGCGCCTTTCCATTCGACAGTGCTCGGGGCTCACAGAGGAACGCATCTGTCTGGGGTCCCAGCCCCCGGACGACTGTCCCCCCACCGAGGTGTTGGGGTGTCAGTTCTCCCGAGGGTCCGAATGGAGGAAAGCGTGAGCACCCTGAACCCCGGAAGTGGAAACCAATCCTAGCACCTGTTCGCAGCCACCTAAGTCTCTGGGGGGCACAGGCTGGACCAGGACAGGGGAGAAAGCTTCCTGTCGGTGTGGGGGGTCAGAACACCCGGACGCGCACCGTGGACGCCCTGAGCTCCAGCTGCAGGCCCACGTGGGTGAGGAACATCACCAGTGTGGACAGGATGGGGGCCACAAACAGCAGGATGGTGTTCAGGCTCTGGATAAACCCGCTCTTCTCCATCAGCTTCCTCTCCTTCCTCCTCAGGCCTGGGGGGGGCGTGAGAAACCACAGAAGTCAGCCACGGGGACCTTCTGCACAGAACAGTCCGTGGTCAGCCACGGGGACACCCTCCACGGAACACAGAACAGTCCGTGGTCGGCCACGGGGACACCCTTCACGGAACACAGAACAGCCCATGGTCAGCCACGGGGACACCCTCCACGGAACACAGAACAGTCCATGGTCAGCCACGGGGACACCCTCCATGGAACACAGAACAGCCCGTGGTCGGCCACGGGGACACCCTCCACGGAACACAGAACAGTCCATGGTCAGCCACGGGGACACCCTCCACGGAACACAGAACAGTCCGTGGTCAGCCATGGGGACACCCTCCACGGAACACAGAACAGTCCGTGGTCAGCCACGGGGACACCCTCCACGGAACACAGAACAGTCCGTGGTCAGCCATGGGGACACCCTCCACGGAACACAGAACAGTCCGTGGTCAGCCATGGGGACACCCTCCACGGAACACAGAACAGTCCGTGGCCGGCCACGGGGACACCCTCCACGGAACACAGAACAGTCCGTGGCCGGCCACGGGGACACCCTCCACGGAACACAGAACAGTCGGTGGTCAGCCACGGGGACACCCTCCACGGAACACAGAACAGTCCGTGGTCAGCCATGGGGACAGCCACGGGGACACCCTCCACGGAACACAGAACAGTCCGTGGCCGGCCACGGGGACAGCCACGGGGACACCCTCCACGGAACACAGAACAGTCCGTGGTCGGCCATGGGGACACCCTCCACGGAACACAGAACAGTCCGTGGTCGGCCACGGGGACAGCCACGGGGACAGCCCCACAGAACAGAACACCCCGCGGAGCCCAGAGGAAATGCCCAGAGGTGGCGTGGCCCCGGACAGCCACGGGCTCCGCGCAGAAAGCCCGAGCTGTACCTTTGATTATGTTTGTGAACGGCTTCTCCCACGTGTACATTTTAATCAGCCTCATGCAGGTGAGGACCTCGCTGGTCACCCGGATGCGCTGGTCGCTGACCTCCGCGGTGTGCTTCTGTTTCTTCACAATCAGGAGCGTCAGCAGTGCCTGCGGCGGGCGCACGGAGGGCCGTGGGGGTGCGGGCCAGGGCTCCCGGAGGGAAGCGCCAGGTGTGAGCGGGCCGCTGGTTAGCTCTGCACCGAGCGCCCCACGGACACTCAGCTCTAGGCCCCCCCCCCCCAGAGGCTTTCCAACGCGCCCCCTCGAGGGCCTGCCTCACACACCCCGGCGGGGGGGGGGGGCCTTCTCTCCTGGCCGAGCCAGGCTGCGCTGACTAAAAAGAAGTCCGGCCAAAACCGGATGGCTCAGTGGATAGAGCGTCGGCCTGGGGACTGAAAGGTCCCGGGTTCGATTCCGGTCAAGGTCATATACCTTGGTTGTGGGCACATCCCCAGTAGGGGGTGTGCAGGAGGCAGCTGATCAGTGTTTCTAACTCTCTATCCCTCTCTCTTCCTCTCTGTAAAAAAAAAATCAATAAAATATATTTAAAAGAAAGAAAGAAAGAAAGAAAGAAAGAGAAGGAAGTCTGCCTTTGGGGACCCTAAGCCTCTAGCAGCCACAGCCCCTTCCGGGACGGAGGGCGGGGAGCCTCCGCTGCGTCACCTAGGGCACGCATCACCCCAGCACCGCCTCCGTCTGCCCGTTTGTTTTCGCTCCTTGAGCAGCCAGTGTGCGCCCTCCCCCCCCCCCCCCAGCTCCGCGAGGCGACGTGTCCGCTCGGAGGGACCCCATCGCAGAGCCCGGCCCTCCGGGGACCCCCAGCCTTACCATCAGCAGCAAGACCAGGAGGTAGGAGGCCGTGGAGATGAGCGCGGTGGGTCCGAGCGTGAGGTAGGAGCTGATGGTGCAGAACAGCAGCAAGAAGCTGCTCAGGAAGATGAGGGGGGCGTAGTACACGCCTTCGAACAGGTAGTTGACGTCGCTGGTGAAGAAGCTGATGGCCTGAAAGACAGCGGCCCGAGGCTGGGGGTCACCTCCCCCGGAGCCCCAGGGGCTGTGTCTTTGTTTTAATGTCGCGATTAGAGGAAGGGAGAGAGAGAGAGAGAGAGAGAGAGAGAGAGGTGATAGAAATAACAATGATGGGAGAGAGCCGTGGATCGGCTGCCCCCTGCTGGGGATCCAGCCAGTAACCTGGCCATGTGCCCTGACCGGGCACTGAAGCGTGACCTCCTGGTTCATAGGTCGATGCTCAGCCCCTGAGCCACACAGGCCCCGGGGACGTCCGTGCCTTTGAAGGGGGCTCAGAGGAGGGGCAGCCGGAAGCGTGCGCGGGGGGACTGGGGGGTGAGGGGGCGTCAGAGCTGCTCTCCTGAGGGGCAGGGCGCCAGTCTGGGCCCGGAGGACGGTGGGATTTTCAAGGGGCAGGGCGTGGCGGAGGCGGGCATGGCTGGTGCATTGAGGACTGGAGGTCACCCTGCCAGGCAGGTGCAGGGGCCACCGGGGGCTGGAGGGGGGCCTGAGGAGGGGCTGGAGCCAGGCTCCGAGGCGGCTGATCTGAGGGTAAGGAGCCAAAGCAGAGCCGCCTTTTCAACATCTAGATGGCCCTCCATGTAAGTCACCGTGAGCCCAGCAGCGTGGCTCTGGGGCTGGCCCACCTGTGAACCAGGAGGCCAGGGTTCGATTCCCGGTCAGGGCTCCATCCGTGCAGGAGGCAGCCGGCCCATGATTAGCTCTCGTTGTCGATGTTTCTCTCTCTCCTCTCTCTCTCTCCCTCCTTTTCCCTTTTTCTCTGAAATCACTAAAAATACATTTTTTTTTTTTAGAAAAGAAACTTTCTTAAAAAAATAAATAAATAAAAAGTCATCGGTGCTCCTCAAGCCACAGGAAAGCAGGGAGACTGGAGTGAAATGCATAAACCCCCGTGTCCCCCACTACGGCCGCGCAGCCTGTCAGTGCCTGTGGTCCTTCCGCGGCCGGAGAGCGAGGTCAGGGGCCACCCCCTCTCCCCTTCACCCGCCGCGCAGCTGCCCCAGCCTCTGCCGCGAGGGGGCACCCGGGCGTCCGCCCTCCGGCTGCTCTGCCCTGGGGCTGGCCCTGGGCCAGGCTCCTCCCCGCCCTCCTCCCGCCCCAGAGCAGGCCGGTAACTGCTGTGGTGGGCACCCACCTTGACCGCCCCGCACCGACCCCCGACCCGCACCCACCCCGCCCGGCACCCGCCCCGCCCGGCACCCGCCCCGCCCGGCACCCACCCTGCCCCGCCCCGCCCCGCACCCGCCCCGCCCCGCCCCGCCCGGCACCCACCCCGCCCGGCACCCACCCCGCCCCGCCCCGCACCCACCTCGCCCGAGGAGATGTGCGTCAGGGACTTGAACTGCAGCAGCTTCTGGAAGGCCAGGGCGGAGACGGCGGCGCGGCAGCGGACGCCGGAGCGCTGGTTGACGATCCAGCAGGCGCACAGGCTCAGGGACTTGAGGCACTCGCTCAGGAAGAGGGCGAGGCTCAGCCCCACGCCCTGGGCCAGGCTGCCCCGCCGCTCCTGGGAGTGCTCCAGGATCCGGGGGATGATCAGCACCTGGAACACACAGCGTCCGGGCCTCCGGCCTCCTGTCCTTCAGGCGAGGGCCCCGGCTGGGCCGACGCAGGGCCCACCTCCCCCCACACCCCACCCTCCCCCCACACCCCACATCCCCACCTCCCCCCACACCCCACACCCCACCGGCCCACCTCCCCCCACACCCCACCTCCCCCCACACCCCACACCCCACCGGCCCACCTCCCCCCACACCCCACCTCCCCCCACACCCCACATCCCACACCCCACACCCCACACCCCACCGGCCCACCTCCCCCCACACCCCACACCCCACCGGCCCACCTCCCCCCACACCCCACACCTCACACCTCACACCCCACACCCCACACCCCACCGGCCCACCTCCCCCCACACCCCACACCCCACACCCCACCGGCCCACCGCCCCCCACATCCCACATCCCACACCCCACATCCCACCGGCCCACCTCCCCCCACACCCCACACCCCACCTCCCCACACACCCCACACCTCACACCCCACACCCCACACCCCACCAGCCCACCTCCCCCACGCCCGCTCACCGGCCCACCTCCCCCCCACCCCACACCCCACCGGCCCACGGCCCCCACGCCGCTCACCGGCCCCAGCACGCTCATGAGGGCGAAGGAGGCGCCCAGGAACGCGTCCACCAGGGCCCTGGTCCTCTGGAACCGCAGGATCACGCGGAGCACGGACGCCTTGGCCAGCCCCCGCCTGGACACTTCCTCCTCCCACAGCCGGCGGAGCCTGGGGGGGACGGCCGTGGGGCCGTGTAATGACGCGGTGACAGCCATTCCCTAATGAGGCTGAGCACCCGTTTGTATTCGTCTCTCTGATTATTCCCAAAATACGTCTCTACGGCGAGCTGGCCAGATCAAGCTCCCAGGAAGTCCATGTGTTACATTTATCTATGTTCTCTGTTTGTTATGTACTGATGAGGGCCCGATGCACGAAGTGCATGCCAGGGGCTCGGCCCCCGCAGCCTGGGCTTCACCGGAAGGTTGTCCGGAAGGTCGTTTGGCTGTTTGGTCTAATTAGCATATTAGCTCTTTATTGTGTAGGGTTTTTAAAATATATATTTTATTGATTTTTCACAGAGAGGAAGAGAGAGGGATAGAGAGCTAGAAACATCGATGAGAGAGAATCATCAATCAGCTGCCTCCTGCACACCCCCTACTGGGGATGTGCCCGCAACCAAGGTACATGCCCTTGACCGAAATCGAACCCGGGACCTTTCAGTCCGCAGGCCGACGCTCTATCCACTGAGCCACACCGGTCCCGGCTGTGTAGGGTTTTTAGAGAGAGGAAGGAAGGGGAAGAGAGAGAGAAACTTCGTTAAGTGTTGTTTCACTTATCTATGCATTCATCGGTTCGTTCTCGTGTGTGCCCTGGCCGGAGATGGAACCCACAGCCTTGGCGTATAGTGCAGCTCGGGGCCTGAGTGTCAGTGTATGAACCAGCAGGCCATGGCTCCATTTCCCGGTCAGGGCACATGCCCAGATTTCGGGCTGGACTCATAGCATGCAGGAGGCAGCCGATCCATGATTCTTTCCCATCACTGATGCTTCTCTCTCCCTCCCTCTCTCTGAAATCAATAAAAAATATAAATTAAAATAAGAGCCGAAACCGGTTTGGATCAGTGGATAGAGCGTCTGGATGGTCCCAGGTTCGATTCCGGTCAAGGGCATGTACATTGGTTGCGGGCACATCCCCGGTAAGGGGGGTACAAGAGGCAGCTGGTCGATGTTTCCCTCTCATTGACGTTTCTAGCTCTCTCTCCCTCTCCCTTCCTCTCTGTAAAAAATAAAATACATTTTTAAAATAATAATAAAATAAAAGTAAGAAAGCGCTTTCCAACCAGAGGTCGGCCTCTTGCCACAAGGGAAGAGCCCACAGCCCCTGGTTGTCTGAGGAGGATCCACCTCACCTCCTGTGAGCACCTCTGTGACCGTGTGTGTGTGTGTGTGTGTGTGTGTGTGTGTGTGTGTGTCTGTGTGTGTGTGTGTGTCTGTGTGTGTCTGTGTGTGTCTGTGTGTGTCTGTGTGTGTCTGTGTGTGGGGGTGAGTGTGTCTGTGTGTGTGTCTGTGTCTGTGTGTGTCTGTGTGTGTGTCTGTGTGTGTGGGGGGGGTGAGTGTGCGTGTTGTGAGTGTGTGTGTCTGTGTGTGTCTGTGTGTGTGTGTCTGTGTGTGTGGGGGGGTGAGTGTGTGTGTTGTGAGTGTGTGTGTCTGGGTGTGTGTGTCTGTGTGTGTCTGTGTGTGTGTGTGGGGGGGTGAGTGTGTGTGTTGTGAGTGTGTGTCTGTGTGTCTGTGTGTGTCTGTGTGTGTGTGTCTGTGTGTGGGGGGGTGAGTGTGTGTGTTGTGAGTGTGTGTCTGTGTGTGTCTGTGTGTGTCTGTGTGTCTGTGTGTGTGTGTGTGTCTGTGTGTGTGTGTGGGGGGGTGAGTGTGTGTGTTGTGAGTGTGTGTATCTGTGTGTGTCTGTGTGTGTGTGTCTGTGTGTGTGGGGGTGAGTGTGTGTGTTGTGAGTGTGTGTCTGTGTGTGTGTCCCGGCGTGCCCAGCGCGCTGCACCTGCGGGCGTTCCGGTCGGAGGCGTCCTGCGCGGACAGCGGGGGGACGGTGCTCTGGTCCAGGCGCTGCCGGCCGCCTCGGCCCAGGAGGAGTGGGCTGAGCCAGGACGCCGTCAGGTAGGAGAACAGGCCGGCGTCGTCCAGCGGCTGGGGGGACGGACGCCTGGAAGCCACGGGCGAGGAGCCGCCTTAGCGCGGGCTCGGCCGGGGCGGGGCGGGGGGGCGGGAGGGCGGGATGAGGAGGGAGGGAGGGCCCTGCCCGGCCACAGTGCTGCAGCCGAGGCACCGCGAGGCGATCGGGAAACACCAGAAACGGCAAGCGCACCTGTGAGCGGGGGCCCATTCCAAAAGGAAGGAAAGGGCCCGGCCGGCGTGGCTCAGGGCTGGAGCACTGACCTGGGAACCAGGAGGACTCAGTGTGATTCCCGGTCGGGGCACAGGCCCGGGTAGGGGGGCTCGATACTGACAGGGGCGGAGGGAAGCCGTTGAGTTATCTATGAACAGGGTTCCAGTGATTTCTTCTCACAGTCTCTATCTCTTCTTCTCCTCTCTCTCTCTCTCCTCTCTTCTCTCTCTCTCTCTCTCTCTCTCTCTCTCTCCCTCTCCCTCTCCCTCTCTCTCTCTCTCTCTCTCCCTCTCTCTCTCCCCCCCCCCCCTTCCTCTCTGAACTCAGTAAGTGTATTCAGAAGGAAGGAGAGCAGAGCGGTGTGTCCTGGGGAGGCAGTGCGGCCGGGTCCGGGGTGGAGGTGACTGGTCACGGGCAGGCTCTCCTCCCCGGACTCACTTGGGCCTGGGGCGGAAGGGCAGCAGCATCCTCCAGGCGTCCCACTTCCCCGGGGGCGGGGCGGCCGCGCTCCCCGGCGGCTCCGGCTCCGGCTCCAGCTCCGGCTCCCGGGCGTGCGGGCTCCCGGGGCCGTCCTCGGGGGTGTACGTTCTCTGGAGAAAGAAAGGACGAAAGAGCATCTGTTTCAGACCCATAGGTGCCCTCCGGAGCTGGCGCTGGGCCCGGGGGTGGCTCCTTCCCGTCAGCTCCTCAGGGCCCCGGAGTCAGGCAGAGAGACAGACAGAGCAGAACCCCTTTTCTATCCCACCCACTGGCTTTTAGAGAGCGGAAGGGAGGGAGGAGGGGAAGAGAGAGAGAGAGAACCATCGAGGTGAGAGAGACACATCGGTGGGTTGCCTCTCGCTGGGGCCCGGATGGGGGTGGGGATGAACTGGGAACCCAGCTACATGTTTGACTGGGATTTGAACTCGCGACCCCATGGTCTGAGGGCTGACCGCTCTATCCACTGAACAAGACCGGCCAGGGTGACAGGTGGGATCTTTAAAACACGGAAAAGGAGCTCACGGACACAGAACATAGATCAGTGGTTGCCCGAGGCAAAGTGGGCAGGCGGGCAGGTGGGCAAATGGGGGGAGGCCAAAAGGCACAGACGCCCAGCTGCACAGTGGAGAAGTGCTGGGGACGTGGCCAGGCACGTGGGCTACATGTTTGGAGGTCACTGAGAGAGGAGAGCTCACATGTCTCATCACAAGAGAAAGCGATGTGTGACTGCGTGTGCTGACGGGTGTTCACCAGACTGACTGTCACGGTCACGTCACAACACATACAAATGCCAGGTAGTATGTGGTACACCTGAAGCTAACATACGGTTGTATGTCAATCACATCCCGATATAAATAAATCAATCAACAAATGAAAGTGTCGATGGGAAAAGGTTTCAGACAGTGGTTCCTTCAGGGAGAGGGACATGGGGAGGGGAGACCACCAGCTGAATGTGATTGCGAAGGTCCAAGCTGGTGTGTCACAATGGGTCTAGAGACACTTAGTATCTATCTATAATATATATCTATATCTATAATATATATATATATTATTTATATATATATATATATTGTATATATATCTAGAATGAATAGATAGATAGATAGATAGATAAAAGCCTAACCATTACAACCGGTTGACCGAACAACCTGTTGCTATGATGCACACTGACCACTAGGGGGCAGATGCTCAATGCAGGAGCTGCCCCTGGTGGTCAGCGTGCTCCCACAGACAATCTCCTGTGGCAGGCCAACCTCCCACGGTCTCTCCCTTAGCCAGCAGGCCCCTATCGGCCCTGATCGGGACCGGGCGGGATGGCCTCAACCGGGCCAATCACCGGCCGGGCCACGGGACCCCACCCGTGTTGTTATAAGCGCAGGCATAGATGGTAGGTAATGGAGGACACACGCACATGCGTGAGCCACCAAGGTGTGTGGTGACCAAGGATTTTGATTCATCTAATGACAGGAGCGCGAGGTGCTTTTAAAGAAAATCCGGGTCGGATGAATAGGAGACACACACACACACTCCTGCTCGGCTTCCTGGGGCTTCGCGGGAGGAGGTACTCACGTAGCTGAGTCCCGAGACGGCCCCATCGCCCACATCGAAGCCGAGGTTCACGACGCCGCCGCCCGAGGAGCCGGGCACCCAGCCGAGCTTCCGCCGGGTCATCGTCCTGCCGAGTCCTCGTCTTCCCAAACCGGAGAACCTGACGGGGCACCGGGCAGGGGCGCTGAGACCCAGCCCCGCGCCGGCAGGAGAGGCGGCCGCCCCCGCGGGCAGAGTGCGAGGGAGGCCCGGCGAGGCCCTCTGCCCGGGATGGACGGACTCCCTGTTTTTATTTATTTAAATAAGTTTTTATTGATGTCAGAGAGGAAGGGAGAGGGAGAGGGAGAGAGAAACATCCATGAGGAAAGAGAATCATGGACCGGCTGCCTCCTGCACGCCCCCTACGGGGGATGGAGCCCGCCACTGGGGCCTGTGCCCTGACCGGGAATCGAACCCTGACCGCCTGGGTCCTAGGTCAGCGCTCAGCCACCGGGTCCTGCCAGTCGGGCTTGGCTCCCTATTTTTTAACATCTTCTCAGGCCCCAGCAGGCTTCCCTGGGGGAAACCTTCTCTAACTCCCCTCTCCCCACCCCTCCCCATGGGCCAGGTCAGTCTCCTATCAGATGCCACGCCTGCCCACAGAACTACGCCTCTTCTGCCCTGCCAGGTGGCTCAGTTGGTTGGGCATCATCCTGTGCACCGGAAGGTTGTGGGTTCGATTCCCGGTCAGGGCACCTGCCCGGGTGATGGGCTCTGTCCCCGGTGTGGGGCGTGCAGGAGGCAGCCGACCCATGAATCTCTCTCATCGTGGATGTTCTGTCTCTCTCTCTCCCTCTCCCTTCCTCTCTGAAATCAATAAAATATATTTTAATAATAATGATAAATAAGATATATTCCTAAAAATCCTCAGGTGAGGACTTCTTAAAAACAAACTATGCTTCTTTTCATACCCCAGTTTGTAATTGTGCCTTCACGTCAATCCTGTTTGCTCCGCGTTCGTTTCTGGCTAAACGGGGGACTAGCCTGCTTTGCTTACTGTTGAGTCCCTAGACCTGGGCCACGGGACAGGCTAGGACCGTGGTCGGCAAACTGCGGCTCGTGAGCCACATGCGGCTCTTTGACCCCTTGAGTGTGGCTCTTCCACAAAACACCACGGCCTGGGCAAGTCTATTTTGAAAAAGTGGCATTAGAAGAAGTTTTAAAAAATTTGGCTCTCGCCGAAACCGGTTTGGCTCAATGGATAGAGCGTTGGCTTGGGGACTGAAAGGTCCCGGGTTCGATTCCGGTCAAGGGCATGTACCTTGGTTGCGGGCACATCCCCAGTAGGGAGTGTGCAAGAGGCAGCTGATCGATGACTCTCTCCCATCGATGTTTCTAACTCTCTATCTCTCTCCCTTCCTCTCTATACAAAATCAATAAAATATATATTTTTTTAAAAATCTGGCTCTCAAGAAAAATTCCAATCGTTGTCCTGTTGGTATTTGGCTCTGGACCAACGAGTTTGCCGACCGCGGGGCTGGAAGGACCGCCAGGTGCTCAGTAAGAGGAGTGGGCGGGAGATGAGTGAGGGGCACCAGGTGCCTGTGCCATTTTCTGATTCCGGGTTTCCAGACTTGGGCAGGGGGTCTGGGCAGGACTCAGGAGTCTTGGGTAGCCGCGTGTTTCGTGTGCCTTTTGCTTCGCCTTCCTGAGTCTGAGACTCACTCCCCGAGCAGCCCTGCCCTGCGAGGAGACGGGTAGTGTGCGGAGTATTTCTGAAGGAATGGAGAGAAAAAGTGGACACTCAGGGGTTCAGCGCCGACCTGTGAACCAGGAGGCCAGGGTTCGATTCCCGGTCAGGGCACAGGCCCGGGGTGCGGGCTCGATCCCCAGTGGGGGGCGTGCAGGAGGCAGCCGGTCCGTGATTCTCTCTCATCGTTGATGTTTATCTCTCTCCCCCTCCCTCCTCCTCTCTGCCATCAATACAGACATTGAAAGTTGGCCTGATTTCGCAGAGCGAGGCCCTGGGGGAGGCCCCTTGTGCCTCTTCTGTTTATTCATTGCGCAAAGCTCCCCGGGAAAGGGGTGGGGGCGGGAGGGTGGTGGTGGCATCAGCAAGTTCTAGATCGCAAGTCATGCAGGCTGGCACCCGGCCGCTGGGCACTGATCTCCGGTGGCCACAGAGCCGGAGGGCGGTTCCCGCAGGGACGCCCTGCCCTGTGCTAACGAGGAAGAGGGGGCCGGAGCGGCCCAGAGTGGGGCCGGGCAGGTCTGCACTCCTCTGCCAACTCCCCGTGACGGTGCTGAGCATTTCCACTGTGGAGAGAATGCCTCCTCATGTCCCTTTGCTCCTCCCCCCGCGGGGCTGTGGGCACCCGCACTTGCCAATTGCACCTGCCTCATCAGCATTCCCTGCGTTGGTTTCTCTTTATTGTTTTAAATATATGTTTATTGATTTCAGAGAGAGGGAGGGAGAGGGAGAGGGAGAGAGAACCAGGGATCCGGTGCTGGTTTGGTCACTGTGGTTAGTGGCGAGGCCGTGGCTGCCGCGGGGTGGGGACCAGGACGAGCCTGGCAATCAGAGGCCAGCTCCCCCGCCAGCGCCCGGGGCCAAGGTCACGGTGGTGAATGTGGTCAGACCCAGGCTGTTTGCAGATGGCGAAACGGCCTGTGAACCGGCCGGGGCCCTGCAGCAAGGTAAACGGCGGCCCGAGTCCAAGGCCAGAGGCTCAGAGGCCGGGGCAGGTGCTGGGAGCCCAGGGGGCAGGGGCGCCTGCCAGGCCCTTCTCTTCCCGCTCCGCCCAGGCCGTCCGTTCCTGTTCCCCTCCCGGCTCTTAGGGTTTCCTCCTCCTGCTGGCCCCACTAGCTTCGGGGGGCCATCGCGGCCGTGCACTGAATGCTAACGCCCCACCTTCTCCTGCCGCTTCTGGCACAGCTGGCCCGTTCTCCACCGTGGGGTCTCCCTCAGCGCACACCCACCTCCCTCAGCTCACACCCACCTCCCTCATCGCACACCCACCTCCCTCAGCTCACACCCACCTCCCTCAGCTCAACACCCACCTCCCTCAGCTCAACACCCACCTCCCTCAGCTCACACCCACCTCCCTCAGCTCACACCCACCTCCCTCAGCTCAACACCCACCTCCCTCAGCGCACACCCACACCCACCTCCCTCAGCTCACACCCACCTCCCTCAGCTCAACACCCACCTCCCTCAGCTCACACCCACCTCCCTCAGCTCAACACCCACCTCCCTCAGCTCACACCCACCTCCCTCAGCTCAACACCCACCTCCCTCAGCTCAACACCCCCCTCCCTCAGCTCACACCCCCCCCCCCTCAGCTCACACCCACCTCCCTCAGCTCACACCCCCCTCCCTCAGCTCACACCCACCTCCCTCAGCTCAACACCCACCTCCCTCAGCTCACACCCACACCCACCTCCCTCAGCTCACACCCACCTCCCTCAGCTCACACCCACCTCCCTCAGCTCACACCCACCTCCCTCAGCTCACACCCACCTCCCTCAGCTCAACACCCACCTCCCTCAGCTCACACCCACCTCCCTCAGCTCACACCCACCTCCCTCAGCTCACACCCACCTCCCTCAGCGCACACCCACCTCCCTCAGCTCACACCCACCTCCCTCAGCTCACACCCACCTCCCTCAGCTCACACCCACCTCCCTCAGCTCACACCCACCTCCCTCAGCGCACACCCACCTCCTCACTGACGCCCGCTTTTCCTCTCCAACCCCTCCTCCTCCATTCCTCACACCAGGGGCGGCTTTGGGGAGCATGAGGCAGGAATGTGAAGCTGTGTCAGGCTTAGGGGAAGGCCCCGCTCCTTCTGGGGCAGCCCGGCCTCTCTAACCTGACCCCACTGAGCCTCTCAGCTCGTGGGACTGGGAAGCTCAGCCAACTCCAGGAGCTGGTCCGCAAGCATCCCACGGGCTCCCCAGCACAGGGCGGTGCACGCGTGGCTTCTCCTGCCTGGTGTCCTGCCCTCCCCGCCCTTCCTGCCCGGCCGGGTCCCTGGGGGCTGCCCCCTCTCAGTGCGAAGCTCGGGGCCTCCTCGGACCCTGGGAAGGACTTCCCGCCGCCCACACGGCTGTGCTTGCACAGGGCACCCACCCCCTGCACTGTCTGGCCATGACAGCGGCAACCTGTCCATGGTGGGTGGAGGGGCATTCCATAAAATAAGGCCCTGGGACTCCCAAAGTGCCGAGCTTTTAAAAGAGAAAAATAAAAATAAAAAAATCATTGAGGTGTCATCACAACGGAAGGGAAAGTGGGATCCTGGCACAGAAAGGGACATTGGGGGGGAAACGGCGCCTTTTCAGTGGGGTCTACAGATCAGACTTCCCGGCGGTTGTCATTGAACTGATGTGTACGCCGCCCACGGGGGACCCTGAGCGCAGGGTGCGTGGGACCCTCTGCTCCGGCCTGGCAACGCTTCTGCACACCGGAGCGCGGTTCGCCCTGGACGGGAAAAGCATCTCCACCCGCTGTGATCGCCACCTTCCGTCCAGCACAGCGAGGGGGCTGGTGTCCTGGGTGAGCGAGGCCCAGGAGCAAGCTGAGGTCCGGAGCGGGCCCCGGCGCACAGGGCCTGCGCCTCTTTTCGCGTAATTACGACGCGCGGCTCCGCCAGGGGGCGGCGCGCAGCGGCGGCGTTTGAGCCCCGGGGCGGCCCGTAGCGCCGGACCGGAAGTGCGGGCGCCGGGCTCGGAGGTCGCACGGCGGCGCCGGCGGGGGCACAGCGGAGCGCGGCTCGGTCGCACGCCGCCGCCATGTCGTCGGGGAGCCCCATCCAGATCCCCGGCCGCCTGCCGCTGCTGCTCACGCACGAGGGCGTGCTGCTGCCCGGCTCCACCATGCGCACCAGCGTGGACTCGGCCCGCAACCTGCAGCTGGTGCGCAGCCGCCTGCTCAAGGGCACGTCGCTGCAGAGCACCATCCTGGGCGTCATCCCCAACACGCCCGACCCGGCCAGCGACGCCGCCGACCTGCCGCCGCTGCACAGGTGGGCCCGGGCCTGCCCCGAAGGCGGGAAACGGGGGCCCGGGTCTGCCTCCAACATGGGAAATGGAGGGCCCGGGGTCTCCCTCAAACATGGGAAATGGGGGGCCCGGGGTCTCCCTCAAACATGGGAAATGGGGGGCCCGGGGTCTGCCTCAA